CATATGAAGGTAATTTATATTCTTTAGGATTTGAAGCTTTAAAACTAAATAAGATTGCTTCATCACGAAATCTTTCACTTCCTCCAACTTGCTATAATTAATCTTATATGTTAATTATATTGCTGAAAATCCCTATAAACAAATCTATTACAAAGATATTTATTAAAAAGTAACTTACACATAAAATAGGTGGTAAATCTCCCAAAGACTCTGCGAGCACAGGACTATAAAATTAGATTTACAATGGATATATAGTATAATAAGTTAAAATGATATTTCTAGTAAACTTCATATGTAAGATGCACTTGCCTAATATAAGGTATTGCTAATGCTTCGTTAGCACAATAAAATTGAAAACGAGGCACCTTGGTAAAAGAGGGATGACCAACAATTGTAGGTTTTTTTTGAGCAATTTTATCAGCTAGAGCCTTCGCATTGGTGATATATTGATCCATTACAGGCGATGAAGTTTTAATTTTGAAAAAGCCCAATTCTTTAGGCATATAATCGATTTTATCAATTTCTGAATCCCAAAAAGATGGCATGCTATGAGTCAAGTCTAACTATTTTATTATTAGAAATGTTGATTACGTTATTCTTCATTTATTAAAACAGGGCCTCAAAATACACAGTATATACATACCCATGGTGACTAAATGTTTTTAAACAAAAAATGTGATCGATATTGTGTAAATATGATGATGAAGAGTTTCATTTATTTATTTATTGCTCACCAATATAATTGCGCCTCCCGGTAAAGGTAATCCCGCATCCCTTAAAAATAATAATGTTGCCAAAGTCAAACCGCCACCTGCACTTTCTCCAGCAAATATAATTCTTTTAGGATTAATCGGTTCAAATCCTGCATCTGAACCAGGATTTATAAGATACATATATGCTGCAACTGAATCACAAAGAGAAGCAGGAAATTGATTTTGTGGTGAGAGACGATAATTAATTGCTAATAATGATTAGAATTATTTTCGTAAGAATTGGTTAACGTTAATAGTAATAACATAAATGTTATTGATCCAAGTAGCTTACAAAAAACTCGAGCTTTAGCATGCTTTGCAAAATTTATCGTAAACATTCTACTGAATTCAGTTGAACCCAGAACATATGCGCCACCATGCATATGTAAAACTACTTTATCAGTTTCTTTATTTCTATTTTCTTCCTCTCCATTAATATATACCCATTCCCCATAGAATTCATCACTTGGATCTTTCCATTTTTCATCTAATACATCTTCATATTGTTTTAAAATTTTTTCTATGTATATTCTACTCTTTAATCTATATCGTTCACCTAATATAACTTTTTTTATAGTTATATTAGAAGGAATTTTTATATTAGACCGTTCAATAAATTCTTTTTGAATCTGTTCAATAGACAAATTCGATTGTTTCAAATTATTTTTAACCAATGCCACTGCTATATGAAACGTTAAATCCCATGATTTTTTAGGTGGACCTTCGATATAATGTTTTAATATAGTTGAAGGGATGGTTGTAATTAATGAAGAGAATGACATTTTTGTTATTTAATTTTTATTTAAGTAATCAAGAAACAAAAAAAAAAAAAAAAAAAAAGAATACGTAGAAAGGAATTATTTTATATTTTTTTTAATAATGAAAATATTTACAGATTAGGTTATATGTTTCAAAAAATAATTTATTGCTTTATTGCCGAATATTTCAGGAAGGTAACGCCCAGAAACTCATACGTAGTAATGAATTTGCAAATCGATCCTAGGAACCGCGCGGCATTAAAGTTCGAGTCACATGCCCCTGCCACAGCCGCAGCATCATGAGGGTCACGTGAAGCCACTGGGGCGGTTCCAATCGACTTCGTCGGGCTACAGCCGCAGTGCGAGTCATGGACTGAATGATAGTGTCGAACTTTAATTTTTCGAAATCCCCCTAAGAAAGCGATTATAGGTCACAACTTTAACTTTTAGACTTGAAGCTTTACGTAACTCAAAATGAAAGATAAGTTTTTTAATTTATAGTAAGCATCTGTACGCGTAAAATCTATAACGGCACTTATTTATTGAGCCTTCGTTTGCGACTTTTTCTCATTATATTTAACATTTTAATCTCAAAGAAAATTTACGAAATTCCTTATTAATAATTATTAAATAACAATTGTCATAAAATTTTTTATAACTTGGATTACATTTCTTCTTTCGTATAAAACGACTTCTTTGTCAGCATCCCAATTTTTCATGCATTAAAATAAATAATCCATTTTCTCGAATCATTCATCAGTAAAAAATTCAACTGATTACTGTAATTCTATCGAGTTCTTTAGTATGAGCATTATAATTTTCATATTCACAATATCTACGTCCATAACAATTTCTACTTTACCATATATCGTTTTTAAATATTTTCACTCGAATTTTATTTCAAAATGTTAGGTATCGTATTATTTAAATAAAATGTTCAGACTTTGAAATTTTATTAACAATAAAAAATTCCCGAAATTATACAAGTCTGAAACTCTTAAACATTAATACTTAGCTTGATTTAATTCAGTGTGCAACATATTGATCTCGTTAATATCTGGTATGTCTTAACCTTTAAGAGTAGAGTTTAAATTATGAAATATGTAAACTTATTTGGTGATGTAGTTGTTATACAAACAAATTTATTTGAGAAGTATTATGTGATGTAAATAATTATAAACCCAACTCAATACTTACTGATTATATGAATGAACAATGGCCGTTTCCATTTATATTTTTCAGATACAATCTTCTACCTAAACAAGAAAACATCATATATGCACGACTATTTAAATAGGTTAATCATTCAAAATTAGGATTTTATATGAGATCATACTAATTGAGATATCACTATTAATTATAGCCTGATAGGGCTTACTCTTGATTTTAATATTGCATTTTATAATGGGAAATTTAACAATCTCCGGATAGATCTTCGGGACGTTATAATTGATTATTTATCGTCAGAGTTGTCATTAGACAATGTCCAAATAAATTTAATTAGACATTTGGACATTTGGATATTTGAATATAGTCCAAATATCCAAATAATTTTTTATACTATTAGTTATTAGACAATGTCTAAAAAAAATTATAAAAATAATTAGACATATGTCTAATTGTCCAATAATCTTATTAGATAAATTTAATAATATAAAATAAAAAAATTTTAAATACTGTAGTAATAAATACTGCAAAATTTTATATAGTTATTGCATATAAAGTATGTAATAATTACTATATTTTATAAATAATAATAATTAGTTAATAATCTATTATGTCTAATAAATTTTATGAAGTTTGCTATTTATTACTACTAGTAATTATTATTAGTATATAAATTAGCCAATAAATTTGTAGAATCAGATGTAATATACAAATCAATTTCATGTAATGAAATAAAGGTTTTTTTAAAAAAGCTCATATTTTAAAAATTCGCTTATGAAATCATCTTTGATGTTTTAACAAAAAAAATTCCTTGCTAAATTTTGCATATATAAAGCCTAGATAAAATTCTAAACCTCATCCTAACTCTAAGTAAATAAAATATGATTTTTTTTATTTTATCATTATTAATTTTACATAGAGTAAATCTAGATCTAGTACTCTTGTATAACATTTAAATTTAGCATCTGAGGTGCTATATACTTATATATTATATAAAGCTAAAAATTAAAATAAATCTAGTTACTAGCTATTTTTTTTAACTTATAATAAAGATAACTCTGAAGATAACTCTAACTCTAAATTAGAGTTGTCTAAAGTAAAACATAATCATAAGATATATAGTAATCAAATTTTTGTATTTGAATATTATTAAAAGAAAATATATAATTTTTATAATGATCAATTTTTAAAATTGCACTAGAGATACTTATTTCTGTTATTTAAGACATATATTAGATGATCCTAATAAAAAACAAAAAAAAGCTTAAAAAAAATTTCAAAAAAGTATTTTCAAACTCTAATGCTAATCTAATTATTCTAAAAGTGATAACACTAAAGTTAATAACAGATAAGAGTTTAGAAATCATAATTACAGAATTAATATAAATAAAAATTATAAGTTCATCACATGATTAGAATCAAACAGAATACTTTAATAATTTTCTTGATATATACTAATTGCATATTTATTATATCTTTTAGAGTCTGAAAAGATCAACTACAGTTGCTATGCTATTAATCTACCTCTACTTCTCTCTCTTCCTCTATCTTCTATACTATCACTATTACTCTTCTTATGAAAGCTATATTGTGACTCATATTACAAATATAATATTTATATAACCTTTTACCTTTAGATCCTTACTAGTAGTTTGTTCTTTTTCAGTACTACTAATATACCTTCATTTAGCTAGTTATCTTCTAGTAGAAATTTTGTTCAAGTTTTTTATATATTTAAGAGTTACTTTATTTATGTTTTAGCTTTTTTTAGTTTTAGTTTTAGATTTTTCTGTTTGATTACTAGTTTTATTTGTTTGAATTTTCTAAGTATTGTTGAATACTTTACTAGCTATAGATCTTTTAAACATATTATAATTTTTGTTATACTTTTAATTAATATAGGTTTGAAGATAAATAATAATTTTATTATTATTTTTTTTAACTGCAAGTAATATAAGTCTCTATACAGGACTATACAAATTTCTTTTATAAATAAATTTTTTAACTATAGATACTATTGTTGAAATAGTAAGTTTTTGTATTAGTAAAACTTCTTTATTATTAAAAATACCTATCTTATATCTAAATATTATACTTTTTCTTTCAAAAATCAATTTATTCTAATAGTAGTCTTTATACTACTTCTGAAATATCATACTAATATAAAATGCTATAAATTTTGAATATATTATAATATAAAAATAGTAGCAGTATATAATTTTTTTTTTTTTTTTTTTTTTTTTTTTTAATAAAAATTACTTACTTTTTGGAGCAGATTTTTTTTGTTTAATATATTTGATCTTTTATTAATAATCCCCTATAG